CAGCAGGGAAGCTCCCCAACGGGGCGACAAATCCTTCGCCAACGAGTTCGACAAAAGCAGTTTACGGCTCCGACATGTCGGACTCGGACTTTGCAACGACCGACTCCGGCTCCGCCAGCGAAAATCGAAGTCGGCGAAGCAGGGCAACATGCATGCGTCGTTCCCATCATAAGCCTGGCGCGGGGGGCGAATCGCAAACAAGCACAAGCCCAAGCACCAAGCACAAGCACAAGCGCAAAGCGGCAACAACAACAACAACAGCCAACGACAACGACAACGACAAAAGGCCCCCAGGCAGGCGCCGGGCAAACCGCAACAATATTCTTCCGCGAGAGCCTCGCCGGAATCCAACCCCGCTCGATCTCCTCCGGCCGCGATGCGCTGGCAAGCATCTCGACGACGAAGCCGTCCGTGCGCTTCCTTGCGCCGAAGACGCGGAAAGCGCGCTGCACGCGTCGATGCGGATGGGAAGCTGCTGTTGGGGCTCGATGGGGATGGGGATGTAGGGATGGCTGGCGCTGGCGGTGGAGATGGAGAGAGTGAAGGCGCCACGGGGGTCAATGCGTATTTGGCTGCTGTGAGCGGGCGGGATGCGGTGAGGAGGGGCCAGCGGGGTCGGCTGAAGGTTGGGCGGGGGGGGAAGAGGGGTGGTGGGGATGAGATGGATGTTGACGATGATGATGAAGGTGGTGGTGGGGATGGGGTGGAGATTGCGAAGGCGGTTGGGCGGGAGGTGAAGGGGGGTGGTGGTGGCGGAGGGGGTGGGGCGGGCAGTCGGAGGAGGGGGTTGGGGGTTGAGAAGGTTAGGAGGGAGAGTGGGAGGGTTGCGAAGAGGGGAGTTGGGAAGGGGGCGCGGCTTGGAGGTGGGGGGGTTCGGGCTAAGGGGCGGGAGAGGACGGGGCGTGGAAGGAGATAGAATGATTGGCTCCGGGGAGTGAGGGTGATAACCCGCCGCTGTTATGTACGCTGGCGAAAAAATTGAGATGAATGGTTGTGTTTTTTGGAATAAAGAAAAAAGCGGGAGATTGGGGACGGGGGGGGGGGGGTGTTCTTTTTGGTTTAGTTGTTATTTTTACGCTGTTGTTTTTTTATGCTTTTACTTTTGGAATATGAAGACGATCGAATGGGAAGAAGCTTACTGAACGAGCTCTGTTGTATCATGTATCAACAAGAAATCTAACTACTTCAAGCCACCCCGATGCAAATCTCATCCCTCCCATCCAAAGAAGTAACACCCACCCAACAAACCCACAAATCCAAACATATCCCAAAATCAGAATCCAAAAATATCAAAAATCAAAAATCAAAAATCAAACCCCCTCATCCCCCCCCCCCCCCCCCCCCATCTCTCCTTCTCCTCCCCCCTCCCAAGCCAACCGGCCCACCAATTCCTCACCCCCAACACTGCCACCCGCCCATCATCCCTCCTCTCGGTACCATCGGGGTTGCCCACGATCATCGCAAAGACCCAGAAGAAGGAGGCGATCCACGTCGCCAAGAGCAAAGGGGCGAGAAGGAAGGGGGAGAGAAGGTGGATGAGGACGAGGACGAGGAGGGTTGGGAAGTGAGAGTGAGAGTGAGAGTGGATTGATGGCAGTGTTTGTTGTTGCTGTTGCAGTGGATGTGGGTGTGGTGGTGAGAAGCAGGGGATAGAAGCGGATGGGCCGGGGGGGTGGTGCATATCCGTCGTCGTTGCGGGTTTTTGCCGGTAATCGATATCGTGTCTATGTCTCTTCTTATATCTGCGGCCACCGCTATGGAGATGAGGGTGCGAGGGGACTATTCGATGCGGGTCAATGAGGCGCTGGTGGGAGTGCAGGAGCGGGAGGAGGAGGGAGGATATCTGTGTTGAGAAGGGATGTTTGAAAAAGGGGCCCCGGTTTGGTGGGCAGAGGCGGAGCGGGGAGGTGAGGAGGAGGAAGAGCAGGGTAAACAGGGTGTACAGGGCTGCGAAGAGGGAGAAGGGCGGGACGACGAAGGAGAGGCGGAGCTGTATATGTCTTTTTGTCAGTTGGAGGGCTTTCTTCAGGTTCCTCTTTGGAAGACGGGTTTTGTTCTGGAGGATTGTATGCATTTTCGTTTTCCGCCTTTTTCACTTGTCTCGTCTGCGGGGATTGCTTTGGTTGGTTGTTGGTTGTTGGTTGTTGGTTGTTGGTTGTTGGTTGTTGGTTGTTGGTTGTTGGTTGTTGGTGGTGGTGGTGGTGTTTGTCATTGGCCATTTTCGAAGAAGCTATGCTCGCGCCGCAACAACCGTCGGTTGTAACCATCGGGTTCAAACTGAACCACAACCAAAACCAAGTATTTCTCCAAAAGAAAAGAAAAATAGAGAAAAATAAAAATGAGAAAGAAAGAGAGAGAAAACAAGGTATTGATCTTACCAGGATGAAAAAGGCATTCTCCCCGTCCGTCGCTGCGACCCCCGCATCGACATCATCCGCATCCGCCATATCCACATCCACATCCACATCCACATCCACATCCACATCCTCCTCATAAACCGCGCTCCAGCCGTTCCTGTTCCTCTGCAAAGAGGGGTTCGAATGTCCCGCCATTGAGGCAAGCGGGGGGATGGTGAGTGGAAGTGTAGTCCTGGAGCCGGGACCTGACCGGGCGTCCTTGATAGGTTGCGACGGGGCGAGATAGGTGGAGAGCAGATGCGAGGGGCCATTGCCATGGAGGTTTGCGGGGGTATATATCTGGGTGGTCGTAGAAGGAGGATGAGGATGAGGATGAGGATGAGGATGTGGATGTGGAGCTGGAGCCGGAGCTGGCGCGGGTTCGGGTTCGGGTAGATGGGGAGTGCAGACAGAGCGAGGGGGAGGTCTGTTCGGTGGATGGCAGCAGTCGTTGCGGAGGGTCGTTCCGGGGGGGGAGGAGTGCAGCATGGCGCCGGGATGGGGATT